ACGTTTTTTATTCCAGTTTAATAATATGTCCCAATATTTCAAGAGGTTTTCTATATAGAATAACTGACAGAAAACTTATTAAATATTTGATACTCCTCATATCCGAGTATTTCTTTAATAGCTAAAAGGCTCCCAGTGTACCATGTAGTGGCTATCGACCGCAACTATAAATACTAAAACGCAAGCACTCCTGTTTTTTTAGCACATTGTAAAATAAAACATTTTACACCCGTCCTTTCGGTGTTACGAACCATTTAATAAAGTTTATGTATCCGCCGACTTGGCCACAAACATGAGCACAACTCTTGGCCAAACTTAGCACATGCACACACGTATGAAAAAAAAGGCAAATGGCCGCAACGTTTATTTAGGTTTATGGTCCTGCCCCATTAAGCATACGACACGTGTGCGACGAGTGCTTTAAATTCAACAAAATTCGCATTTAATTTGATTTGCACACGACCGCAAGTCGTCGGCCAGGCGCAACATATTTGCGTTTATTTCATGAGCTGTTTTTGACAGAAGGGCAAAAAGTCAACCGACAAAGAGGATAATTTACAAACTGCATAAGTGCAAAACGCTGCCCATGCTGAAAACACGAAGGTTTTTGACGTTTTTCTTTTACTTTTTTTTGTTGTTGTTGTTTTTGGCTGATTGCGTGTTTCGGCTGGCTGCCCAGTTGTTAGCCCGCACATTTAAAATTAATTAAAACTAATAACATTTTCAAGCACTTACTGCCACATTCAAACGCACATATGCTTTCGCGAGTGACGCCATTTTGTCGTGCATTGCATAATTAAAAGGCGCGCAAATGGCGGGCCATTTCCGGTGGACGTTGCCCGTTGCCCTGTGCCCATTTCCTGGTACCGGTCGAATGTGCTTTAATTTAAAGCAGCCGCCATATATTTGCCACTGTCCACCTTGACAACCGCGCCCCCGGGCGTCGGGCGGAATATTTTTTTTATTATATTTCTCTCCTGCCTGGCGACGCTGTCAAAAAGTTTTAATTTGAAACGGAAACGCGAGACCCATTGTCAGTGCCTTAGCTACTGGCCATTGTCCTTGCTTTCAGCATCCAGCATCCAGGACACTTCACTTCAGACGCCCCCCGCTCCGTGGACAAATCATACTTAGCCTGGTAATTATTTATATTCGCAATCTCTGGCACATCAGCGCCAGAGTCTGGGCGTCATTAAAATCGTAAATCTAATGGACAAGCCGGTGCTGCCAACGACCGGTGCTGCCGTTGTCTGTGGTCAGAGACGATTTGAGTTATGGCATATTTTAGCGTGAAAATCTAGGGGGAGTGGCGGAAAAGCAGAAACCGAATGGCGTATAATTTCTCTAGTGGATTTTCCGACAGCTGCCATGCATGAAAATATCAGATTTATACTTCAATTGAAGAGAATTTAAACTTACAACGTATTGTAATTGAATACAAACGATGCCAGAAATTAGCCTTTAAAAAATTAAATAAATAAAAGTAACTGGTATTCTGTGAAGCCTACAAATAATTATATATATAAAAAGACAAAATGAGACTGTTTAAATATTTATTAAATTCATATAAAAATATATATAAAACATGAAAATTTAAGCTTAGTGAAAGCTGATTAGCATTTTATACAAAATTCTAAAAAAAACTATCATTAAATTCCGTTGAAATTATTCCAAACATTTGACCTTCTTCTACATAAAAATCCCCAACATCTAAGGCCAGACCAATTGCATTAGCTGCTGTAAGCTCCCAGAGAAGCGAATTATTTGGCTGTTGTTGGCTGCTGCCCCATGGCAACATCAAAGCGCCGCCCCGGCAGTGTTATCTCTCCTTTGATTTCTAATAAGCCGGCGGAGCAGGTGTTCGATCTGGCCCGAAAAGGTCACACGCCTGAAAAGGCCACCGGGGCGACCCAAACCCAAAACCAGGACCAGGACCCAGAAACAGGACGCAGCTGATTTACATCAGTTTAATTAGTTGTTTATTTGCATAAGCCCGCAGTGCGTAGGAGGAGGACTCGGCTCGCACTAGGGGACAGGACAATCAGAAACATGCGTAACGCTATTTGTTTAGGCCGTGTTAGGGTTTTCAATCATTTCCCTAAACCGAAAACTGTTCCAGCTTAGCCAGGTCTTTGCACCGCTTTCATGGTCACTGTGAATTTATGGCTATTAGGTTTAGCACTTTTTGGCAGCCCATTGTAGCTGCTCCTGCTCCTGATGCGGCGCCGCCCTAATGGCTTATTATGATTATTAATTCATAACGCAGCCGGTGCTGGTCGTGTAGCTACAACCACATAGCAACTATAACTACATCAGCACTCGAGCACTTGAACACACGAAACCGTTAGCCACATCTAGACTCCCATCCATCGGGCCAACTGGTATATACGATCCTGACATGCCAACAGATGGAACATTAAACATGAGCACGGCTACCGCTGCACGGTAATAAATTAAAGGAAGTTTTTGAATTCTGTCGAAAAATTGAATATAATATTCCACTCGACAATCAATTGGGTTTCATTTTATTCTTCAACTTGATAACTATAAAATACGCTCATTGCCTTGGAAATGGGGTGTTTAGTGTCAAATTAAATGTGTTAAATGGCGTTGGGTTTTTCCAGTGTGAGCTCAACGTTGATTTGCGGAGTATGGGGCTTCGAAAAGCAGCATGCTTTGCTGTTTGACGGCGGGAGCAGACTTTATGCGTTAACCAGGCCAATAAAACATGTCCCCGGCTGGGCTGTGTGTGGCTGTGGCCGTGGTCCGTGGTTAGTTCACCAAAGCACACAACACTACACTACACGCTACACTACTTCATGCCGCACTGTGAGTGTTCGCTTGTGTTTGTGCCCCCGAGAGTATGCAACAGTTTTGGCTTGGCCTCGGTTTCGGCTTTCGTTTCCGTTTCCTGCCCCATTTTGATGGCCGCTTGACTAGACCCTACCACAGTCGTTTGCCAATTTTGTGGCGCTAATAAAGCCCGCACGCACTCCAATCCTGATGCTAGGCTGCAGATAAAATTATAATTAAAAATAGCTGTTCTTGGTGCTGGCGGACAGCATAATTTACACAGAAACCAAAGCCTTGTTTGGATTTTTATGCGCTCTGCGTGACTCCTTCACTGACACATCGCATCATCACACTTGCGAAAGGTCTACGTTGACATACAGCAGCGTTAAAAATGTAAGCGCTGCTTACGAATATTGTTATTATTATTAGACATGTAAAAAAAACAAGCATCATTTAAATAACTTCACAAGAGAAACAATTGATTTATTTTTGAGTCCCTTTAATAATGTTCTTGCTAGTTTATTTTTTTGCCATCTGTACATGTGATTTTCAGTGCTATAAACTGTGCCATAGCTGTTGCCGTCCATGTGCTCTGTTTGTTTTATGTGCCAGCAGCTCCTGGCCATGTTTTATGGCTCTCGCCTGCCAGCTGCGCGTTAATATTAAGCAACCGGCTCAAGGACGAGCTGCAGGGGTGCCCGAAAGCCCAAAAATCCCGGGTGTATGGAGAGTAGCTACATGGCGGGACCTCAAACTTAATTTGCCAACCGGACATCGACTTACGTTTGATTACCGATTTAATTGGATTGCCAACTTTCATCCACACGTCCATCATTTGCATAAATTTCACGCAGTTTGGGGTCCGTGTATGTGGCATTTAATTAGATGTCCATTGTCCTGTAGATATCTATACAAGAGGGGGCCTAAATTGATTCCTTTCCAGTAAATTGAACCGTCATTGTAGCGGAAGTCTTAAGGTAAACAAAGGCCCCCAACCCATGAAATTTCCATATATTATTCGGTCTGAAAAACGAACTTCATCTCTTACAAGAATCCCTTTTAGTTTAGACTTATACTTGGGCTAATGGCGGAAATTAGTCAAATTTATTTTATATTCTACTCGCTCGCCTATCTCTTATTAGTCACTTTGATAGGTTAAGCCCTGGAATACTCGATATCCATCTGTCAAACAAGCACAATTTTATCTGCATTCATAATTTCATTTAATTTTGAGCTCAAAATTTGTGCACATCCTGTTGCAATAAAATGTAATTGGTTTATTGTCTCTTGGCTACTCACTTTAATTAATTTACAAATATGTTGCGCACGTGAAAATTTTGCCTTTACCAACCATGCTAACCAAATTAACCAAAGCTCAATTCGAAAATCGATTAAATTGCTACTAAATCAACTAATGACAACTTTTTGTGTGTTCTTTTTATTCTTTGTCTCTTTCCATTCAATTACACATACATCACGCACACCACACACACCAACACTCATACACGTTAACCCGCAACACACGCTTGCCACTTTCTCTGTCTCTATCGCTCTCGCTCTCTATATATCTGTCTCGACATGTCATGTTAACTTTTGTAACGTGTTTTCGTTCCTTAACCAACAATCTAACTAAAATGTCTATGCGTCTGTCACGTAATTATGTTACCAACCCGAAACCAAACCCCTGTCACCCTCCCTCGCAATGACGGCAACCAAAACTCCAACAATTTCAAAAACAAACCACAACGAAACCCACAACTACTGCCAACGAAACTACTACTCGCACCCACACACTGTGAACACTTGCAAAAACATACACAAATTTCAACATCGCCTCCAAACAATTCACAACAATTTAAACTTAATCCACGTATTCAAAATATTTCAACAACGTCACCTGAAATTTTGGAATTAAACAAAAACTCCATTATTTCAATGACAATTTCAATAATACTTCAAATACTGGAAAACACACCAACACCATTGCAATTACAACACTTTCACCAACAACAATTGCAACCTATCACAATCAAAACCCCTCAAATCACAAAAACAACAATTACAACTCCAATGAAATTTCAACAATGTAATCAACAACAAAACACAACAACAGGCTATTGCGCGCGGAATTGTATGCGTTGAGACGCAAGGGTGCGGCTAAGGTCGTTGGTGGAGTGCAGCCACTCGATGCCACACAACAACCACAACAACAACAGACAACCATGCAGCCCAATCAACAACAACAACAGCTCGAACAACACAACAACCACAACGCACACACGAGCGACCCGAGTCGCCACTGCGCTCGCTGCACCACCGAACTGGGCCGCATCACGAACCGCGGTGCCCCCTGTCGCGTCTGCAAGCTGCGCGTGTGCAAAGCCTGTCGCGAGTTCACCTCGCGCACCACGGACTGGGTGTGTGTGGTGTGCCACAAGCAAATGTAAGTCTCCACCTGTCTTTCTCTCGCTGTCCGTGTCCCTGTCTCTGTTTCTGTGGCCATCTTTTCTATCACTCGAAATTTCTAAGTGTAACCCTCAAGCATTCCAACTCATGCACACGAAAACTAAGTCACATAACCAAACACTACTTGGTGTCCTGGTATCTTTGTATTTTCTATAATAAGTGGGGGTGAAATTAATGTCCTTTATTCATAGGGTTTTATTCATTTTAAAGCTAAAGTTAGAATAGATAGAATTTAATTTCATTAAATGCATGTTAATTTTAAAATTTACAACAAAATCTAAGAGGTTACAGGATAGATACTCAGTTTCTGGTTTAAAACATTTTCCAAAACCAGTTTCGTATCTGCAACTATGTATGTTTTTTATTTGTTCACTTCCAGTTCGTAACCCACTCAAAGTTTATGCTTTTATTTCGTTCTGGTGTGGTATTGTTTTTCCATTTCTTTTTCCCTGCACCGGACTTTGTAGCGGCAACGCTGCAATTTTCATGGCTGCAATCTAATTTTGCATGCCCTTTTGGTTGCTTTTGTATTGTCGGAATTGTCACCCAAAGCCTGTTGCAGATTTGTCGACAAAGTACTGAATTGCAAGCGCACATAGAATAGTATCTCCTGCCCAGAAATGGGCTTTATTTTTTTGCACAAATGAAAGGTGATAGTGGAACACTCCACCTCGACTGAAAACTGTTATCCCATTTGTGTTTAGTTTCAATTTTAAACCATCGCTGCCAAGGCAGGCATTTGGTATCACAGGCTGTCAACTGATGCTCTGCATAAATGATGAGACGAGTTTATGATTGCTTCAGCTCTTGTTACCTTTACAGTTTTGGAACTGTTTTATTATTTTGTAATCGCATGCAGTTTTTGGTTTGCCAAATACCATGAATTCAATTTCATTCCTGGGAATTCCAGAGCTCTTTCCGAGTTTCCCAGAAGAGCAACCTATAGGTTGCATTTAATTTGCAATTAGCATACTCAAAGGCTACCAGAAATTATCCATCCAGCAACCTTTGTGAGAAGCAGGAGTACCCGTTAGCCCACTACAAACTGTCAACAAGTGCTCCGGCCGTTTAATGAGCTGCACTCTGAGTATTCTGGCCCTGTTTGCCCCTTTTGAGACACTCCGTACATTACACATACGCCCTGTGTGTGTCACCACAACATCGTATACGACTCCAGCTAGTTTGTGCCAACATTTGGCAACTGAACAATTGCCTCCGATGAGACTGGCGACCCACACACCCAAGGGTTCAGTGTTAATGGGCAAGCCCAGACTCCAGTCCCAAAACCACTTCGCATCTGAGAAATGCCCGTATTGAGTGCACAAGGCCAGGCACAGACGGTTGGTAATTAAATCTTGGCCAACTCGACAACTAGATACTTGCACAGAGCACATATGTAAATTTCCCGGGGCCAAGAATCCGGCAGGTCGCCTACAGGTGACAGCGATTTCACGCCTGTCAACGCCGGTGACGCACTCCCAATTTGGCCGCGTCTGCTGCAGCTGCCGGATAATTATGATGATGATGGCGATGACGACCACGATTTCGATTACCATTGCGGCCCAGCCCCTCTGTGGCCATCGATGGAAGGCGTCAAAGCCTCCAACTGCTGCACTCGAGTCTGCGTGCGAGTTGGAATTTATTCAATTTCATGACTGCGCCCCCAACATCAGACTCAAAACGCACAGTGTCTTGCTAAGATAAACAACATTTTTGGTTACAAAATTATTTTATATTTTTACCAATATCCAATATTTAGTTTAGCATTCATTCATTTTAATCAAAAACATAGCATTCTATAAAGCAAAAGGGAAAATTCTTTAGAAATTGTTGTTGATGATTCTAGGAGTTGCCTTTTAAACTAACATTAGGTTTGTCTGTATTTTAATAGGATTGCTAGTTCTATGGAATTCATTTAACGAATGAAATATAGTAAAATGAAACTTATTCTTGGAACGTAGTTAACTAACCAAAACTTTGTTCACAAATAAGGAATCGAAATAGATTTATTAAAGTTTTCAGATTGTCTATTTAAATTGTTAAAGCTTCCGCTAAAAGTTAAGTTATTTTGTAAATTCGCTTTAAAATGTTACTTCTTATTGTTTGATATATTTTTAGTTCCTTCCTTTACAAATAATACATTGATTTGTTCCCTCACCTTTACCTTTAATTTATATTTCCTTAAATATACAATTGTTTGATTAAAGTTGATCTCGGCCTGAAAGTTAAATATATAAATAAGACCAACTTCCGGTTGAAGTTTGACTTATTCATTAAATATTTAATTATTTCTTTCGAGTCTCTGGGCCCCTAACTTTGCCATTGAGGTTTCGCAGGGAAGGAAAAGTTTTTCACAAAAATGTATCTGTAAATTTATGTTGATGTTTATGTAAACCCAAGTCAGTGTGCGTTTGCCGGCTTCAACTCTTCCGATCCACCTTGGGCAGAGACTGGGTAGCTCTGCTCCAGTCCGTGTTGGTGTTGCTCCACAGACAATCCGGCATTCAGTCGTATTTTCGAGTAAGTGAGCCAAGACAGTCGGCCGATTGTCGCTGGCGCGGGCAGACGTTGTTGAATCCGGTGACTCCGCCGACGATTTACTTGTTGACTTTCGTTGCCCCAAAAAACTTTTGTGGCGGCAATGTTTGGCGAAGTTTTCTGGTTCCTAAAATGGCAATGTTGTTGCTCTTGCAGGGAGATCCAGTCAGCGAGTGGCGATTGGATAAAGGACGCCTACACTTTAGGATCCTGCACGGCTGTCGACCATCTGACCACCAGCGATGTCCTGAGGAAGAGCATACGTCGTTCTTGGACCATATCAAGTGAGTATCCTCATGGGGATAAAACCCTGGCTTAGGTCCCCAATTTATAATCTCCTCCCTTTGACAGATCCCGAGGACGATCCGAATAATCCCAACTCGCAGCAGCCGGTGGCCGACAACCTTTATCCGCAGCAGCAGCATCTTATCGAGGCCCAGTCGGCGGGCAGTTATCCCACCCTGCACCAGCACCATCAGCAGCATCACCTGCCCCAGCAGCCGCGACCCGGACACGTTGCTGGATACGGCAGTGGCACTGCCACGCCCACCGCCACCAGCCGGTGGCAGCTGGGTCGCCGGGTCCTGCGTCAGTCCACGCTTCCGAGCAGCCTCACCAACGACCCAGCGCTCAGCGGCAGCGGGGCCAACTTGGCCAACTACAACTCCGTGAATCTCACGGCGCCCACGTCTCCGCATCAGTTGCAGAAGAGTCCCCTGTATCCAAGCGCCTACAACAGCGACGACGTCATTCACATGAACACGGCGGCGTCACAAGGAATGGGCGGAGTGGGCGTGGAGGTGACAGTGGGCGACTGCGACAACTACGCACAGCAGCAGCAACAACAACAGCCGCAGCAACCCCAGCTGGAGGTAACGCCCACGCACCATCGACTACAGGTGCGCCGCCAGTCTACGCTGCCCGCCCAGCCAACGCCGGCCATCTACATGTCCACATCCCCGAACAGGCTGTACAGCCGCTCTCCGGAGCGCTCACCTGGCGAGCAACAGCGCTATCCACCCTTCATGCGCCAGACCTCGTTCCCGGAGCCGCCGAGCACCTACCATCGCACCAAGCTGCTGCCCTCGGGCTACGAATCTGCAGTGCCGGCTAATCCGGCACCCCCGCCGCTTAACTACGAGTCGCAGGCCTCGAGCCTGGCCAGCGATGAACAGGACGCCGGGCCTATGCCCAAGCCGCGGATGACGCGCCAGGCAACGCTGCCTAATCCCGAGCAGCATGTCAAGCTGCTGCCCACCTCGCCGCCAAAGCGCCAGACTTCACCACAATTCCGCCGCTCGCCAGAGTTCATGCGCCAGCAGACGCTGCCCAATCCGGAGGCCTTTACCAGCGGCAACACTCTCACCGTGCACGCCGCTCCGCCTGGCAAATTCATGCCCATCTCGCCCAGGGCCAAGCAGAACTTCCTCTTTCCCAGCGTCCAGAATCCGCGGCAGTTCCTCTCGCAGCCGCATGTGCCTGCGGCAGGGACCACGGATCTGGGCAGCGGCGGCAGTGTGGCCAGTGCCAGTGGTACAGGCACCGGCGAGCAGTACTCCAGCAGCCAGAGCGTAAACATCCACCACTCGAGGGATCCGCATGCCAAGATGATTAAGGTGCGCAGCCACAGCAACGAGGAGTACTCAAACACGAAGGGGCATCCGGAGAACCGGAGGCTGCTGCCGGAGATTCCCACCACGGCGGTGGCGCGATCCGCCAGTCGCTCGCCCAGCCGCCTGGTCCGACAGGATTGCCTCAAGGAGGAGAGGACCTTTGGCGAGGCCAAGCAGCAGTTCCACCAGTTCCCCGACGTCACCGAGGAGCTAGAGAATCGGCCGGAATACGTGGACTACTTCGGGGACAGCGCCACCAGTTTCTTGGAGTCCGATGAGATGCAGTACGAGCGGAACTACAACGCTGGCTTCAGCAGTGAGCCGCGCATCATCTACAACAATGGCTCTGACGATGGATCAGGCTACCAGCCCGCCTCCCAGAGACCCATCTATAGTGCTGAGAACGTCCTGGCAGACTCTGGTTATGGAGGAGGAGGCGGCGGCGTGGGTCTGGGCACAACTGTCGGGTCGGGTGGAGTGCCCGGATATTACCCGGATATGGGCACCCCGCAGAGCTTCTATGGCGGCGCCGCCCTGCCCCGCACTCCGCTGATGCACAATCGTTTGCGGCGGCGGCAGTCCAGGGAATTGCAAATGCAGCAGGAGGAGCTGGCCCAGCTTTCGCAGACCACTGATGTCACCGCTGGGGGCATGGGAGTTGAGCCAGGGGCTGCATCGGGAGGAAGTACCTCGGAGAGTCATGCCACCGAGCGGCGCAAACCGGAGCAGATGCGCTCTGTTTCTGAGGATTCGGGGGCCAAAACCACACCAAAGCCGGTCACCCGACGCTCCTTTTCGCATCCCGAAAAAGACACACAGGTGGGTGGATTTTAGTTTAAAATCGAAGTCAATATTATATGGTTTTTGAATCGCTATTTGCATTGTAAATATACATACATTCATAAAGAGCCTTCGTTCTTTTTTATCCATCTCACAGCCCCAGCAAAAGAAAACAGAGGCTTCAAAGATTCCCAGCCCGCGTCCACTGGCCGACATTCTGGACAAGACGCGCGGCAACTCCAAGATACCGCAGGCGCGTCGTCGTAACAGCCGCACTGGGATCGGTGAGGCGGAGGAGGGTGAGTCACGTAGAAGCTTTAGCTTCCAGCAGTAACAGTAGCTATGGTTGCTTTCTGCGCCCACGCATCTGAAGAGTCCAGGGACCGCAATTATTACCAGCTTTGGCTGAAGCACCTTTCACTCATCCTCACCAGAAATTGTACACTAAAAGGTCACTTTATTCTCGGTTAAAACTAAACATATAACCAACCAAAGTAGTTTGTAGTTTAAATAGATAAAAAAAATTATTTGCACCTGCTTATAGTTATGGAACAATTATTTTTGATTTAATTTAAATTATTAATTATAATTTAACTTTCTTTCTTGGATATAATTTATGATTTAATTGCATACATTTATTTTTTGAGAAATTTCGGACAGTAATTAAAGTTACATTTATCATATTTTGTGTTTAAAATTAGCCTTTTCAGTATTTAAACCGACTCACAAAATTATTACAATAACCATTTAGCATTAAACATCAACATTAGAGATTAGTTTAATTGAAATTGAAACCGTATTTACAGAGTATAGTAGTCGCCACCCATTCCAAGTAAATATTGATGTAGTCCCCTGCCTGCGCATAAATACTTGCGTGTTTATAGTTGATTTATTAATTAATTCTTGCGGTCCCTGCTCGGTAGAACCTTGAGTAGCTGCGCTTGCTCCGGCACCCGATTGATGAACGCTTTGCACCTTCCTCTCCTTCCCGTTAACCGCCCCCACAGGTAGCACGACCCAGCACATTTACTCCTTCCATCAACAGCTTATGCATAGAAACTCTGATTTAGCCATGCGCCTCAAAAAAACAGAACTTCCTGTCGCCACAGTAGCCTCTAGCAGCCAGCAGGACGAGAGTCCGCCTACGAATGCGACTAATTCCCAGGGGCCAGAGCAGCCGGTCAACGGCAAATCCCTGGAATCCTCGGCCAACGCGGATGATGCAGCGGTGAGTAGTGGGCGGACGATCAAAGGACCAGCGAACAAGTAGGCTTAACTTGGTTGGGTTTCCCATTTGCCTTCCAGGGAGCCGGCGCCCATACCAGCACCTTGGGCGAGCAGGAGCTGCAGAATGCAGTGGAGGCGGCCGCCGTGGTCTTTAAGAAAGTGGTACTGCAGCGTCGCAAGGAGAAGGAAAAGGAGAAGGCCGCCGAGGAAGGTAAGTGACAACAACTGTTAGTCCTTCACAAGAACACTGAGCAAAAAGATCAAGAGTAAATAAATACTACTTGTTAAAATATTCCATGAATGGTTGGTTATACATTTAAAGCTTTCAAATCTTGTTAAAATATTCCCAGAATATATGAATTTTACTCTTGAATTTAATGCACTTCAAATTGTCTCAGTGTACTCTCTATGTATTTGCGTTTCTCTGTGTAACTAAGTATATGTTTGGAAGCGTAATTAACTTGGTGATGGTAACGCTAATGCCCGTACTGATGCTAATGTTGATGGTGATGGAGGGTGGCGGCGATGCCAATGGCCGCCTCTACGACTAACAAACTCTTTGTGAAGAGCTTCGTCTTCCGTCTAATTTCGCTCAATTAATTAAGCTTCTCCTGGGGACTCCTGAAGGTGGCTGCTTCTTGAGTTGCCTGTCATTGTCAGACGGCGACTGTGTCATCTTAGGAAGCCCTAAACTATCTTCTTTAGTTTAAAAGTGGGCGGAATACCACAAAGGAAGGGTACTTTGGGTGACGTTTTACGCGCGAAAGTTTAGTTCATTTTAAAAATAAAGATTGACAAAATAAGGATAGAATCTATCAATCTAAATATTTATAAATGTAATTCAATTAATTAACCAACTACTTAACTAGTATTCCTATAATAACCAAAAAGTGCTTAGAACCTTCATTGACTTCTTGTCCTCATAGCAATCTAAACTTTAAGTATCTTTAATAAATAATCAAAGCAGTAGCTTTCCTCGAAAGCTAATTCAACATAAAATACTGCCACTTACCAGCTTATTAGAGAATCTGTCAGTCGCGAGGGACAAGAAAATTCCAAGGGAGAAATTCCCCCTTTGAAATTCCCTGGTCATCGGCTCCCCAAAGAATGCAACACTTGCTGTCGTCAGCAATTTCAGCTAGTTCCTAAAAGTATGCAATCAATTCTCGCTTGACTCAAAGCTGAATTTTCACTTTCCACTCCGTAATTGGAGTTAAATATTCCCCGAAAAGCCATTGACTGTGACACGACCAACAAAAATTTAAGAGCAAAGTTGGCGCTTTGCTTCAAAAGATTTTGGGTCGCCGAAACCCAGCCTTGGGCGGGCGGGATAAATTTTTTTCCTGTTTTTTCGGCAACTCATAAATCGATTTCCACTTCGCCCGCCCCCTCCCCCCCAGGACAAGTTTGAGAGCTTTCCACGAGGATTTTACCCCGCTTTCGCCTTGGCCGGCTTTTGTTATGTTTCAATTTGGCGATTTGCGGAATTTCTGTTTTGCGACCATCAACGCAGCGTGTGTCTATGAGCTTCCCGGATCTCGTTCCACGTCCTTGTACAGCCACCGCCCACAGAGCAAGCAAAACGAAAGCTACCGCCCACCCGAATTTTTGGCCAAACGATATGGCGGGACTGTCACAAGTCTAGCGTTAATCTTATCTCGCGCACCTTTTGTGCTGCGACGTGTGGGCTCTGTCCTGGGAATCGCAGAAAGTGCTTAGAGGACATGAGGACGGGGAGAGCCCTGTGCAAATGTTTACCTTGTGGCTGCCAGGGATTGACTTTGTGTGCATGCATTCACCGCCAGCAGCTTGTGCACTTTTTGTTTGTGCATACACTCCCCCCGTTTTCGGGCAGGACATGGCCATGTTACCGAAACTCTAAAAGCTTTTTCACAAACTCAAGCTAGTCCTTGTCATGCCACGGAGGAGAGAAAACCTTGTGGCAGAGACTCATAATCAATCAAGAGTCTTTGAACTGGTTCTAGACGGGATTGATGGTGAAGCTTGGGTTATGTAGTGAATATGATTTGTGAGGATATTCAATTTTGATCTTGATGAAAGGGCTAAAGCTGAAATGAACTTGACTTGCATTACTCTCAAAAAGGGGTTTCTTGAAGGGGTTTATTTTAGGGGAAAATTGTTGATTTTGTAGAGGTTTTTAGTTTAGTTTAGTTTAATAGCTTGGTTATGTTTCAGTTTATTCTATAAATTATTATACTTAAGGTTGCCCCTTACTGCTCATTTCTGGTTAACCACTTGACTATTGTATTAAATTACACTTTTCTTTGGACTATATAAACATAAGCTACACTTTCTGGGTACTCCCATTATAGTAAATATTTATTTACATAAAATTGTGTAAATTATGGTTAATCTCTTAACCAAACTTGGAATTTTTAAAGTGGTAAACAGTAATTAAACGTAAAGCTCTGGGAATTTGCTTTGATTCGTAACATCTCGACTCCATTAATTTTTATATTAAATACCTTATGTTTATTTGTGGATAATATCGCATTCGCCAGTTCTACGGCTTGTACTATGGGCCTAAATGCAATTATCATTGCCTAGATAACATTTCTCCAATTGGGGTTGATAAAGCCACAGACATTTACTGGGACTGATAGATAGATATCTCTTAAAACACCCTGCTTTGGTGCCTATTTGTAGCTTGTAGTTTCTATTTATATCTTTGGTGTTCACCGTGCCAAAACCATCCAAGCTTAACCCATGTTAGCTGTAAGTTTTTGTGCATTCATCCACCACCATCCGTAACTCATCTGTGAGCGACTAACTAACATTGGTGCCGGGAGAACTCACCCCCGGGACAACCGGTATTTCACCTGCGTGTATGTGTGTCTGGGTAACCAGTATTTCCGTGGTGTTGGCTGCCTCCGAACCCCGACCACGGCTCTAACTTCCCGCAAACGATACTCCACAGGCGGCGCAGAGCAGCAGCTGTCCGCGATTTCCGGTGATATGGGATCGGGAGGAGGAGTTGCAGGGTGCGATGCCATGGAAACGTCGTCGTCATCGGAGCTGGACTTCAGGTGTTCCACCCAGCATGGACGCCAGCAGCAGCAGTCACAGTACAGCGTCGAAGCTGACGAGTTCAAGCTCGTCTTCCTCAACTCGGATTCATCCTCGTCCTGTCACGGCGAAGAGGAGGAGGAGGAGGAGGAACAGGATGACTCTGACTCCTCCTGCTCTACGCACCACTGTCACAGCATCGTGAGCAATGTGGAGGATTGCGACTGGGACTACTTTGAGCCCTCGATGATCTCCACAACCACGACCACCACCACCACTACCATGATTGCCTATTCCACGGCCCGGGCCACGCCGCCTCCGCCGCCCCGAGTGCGTCAGTGTCAGTCCAGCGACAGTGACTCCCCGCTAGTCCAGCGCCGTCCGCCAGGTCTGAGGAACAGCTATTGCTCCCGTATTCGGGAGAGCGACACCGGCACTGACGAGGAGTTTGTGCTCAACACCGAGAGCAGTTCGCAGACCAGCTCAGATCAGACGCCGCCACCAGTGCCGCCGCCTCCACATCCGCTGAGCATGAAGACCAGGATTAAAACCCGATTCCTAAAGAACCATCACAATCACAGCCGCTGCAGCTGCAATCCCGGCCAGCAGCAGAGCCAGCAATTGCCGCCACAGCCGCAGTATGTGCCCATACCAGTGCCTGTGCCTATACCCGTGCCAATGGCTGCCTATCCCAACTGGGCGGAACTGCCGGGCTCTGGGAATCCCCTCCTCGAGCAAGATGAGCAGCTGGCTGCCTCGCTGCAGCAACTCTGGCAGGCGGCTGGCCAGCAGCAGCAGTTCGCCGCCATTGTGGCGGCCTACTCGCAGCAGTTTGCGGCGGCGGCATCCAGCAACAACATGTTTGATGCAACGCCACCGGTGTCCACTAGGAGCTGTCAGCAGCTGCCTACCACACCGCCGCCAATGATGCCGCTGATGCCGCAGCGCTTGCGCGGCTTAGGCGGCTTTAAGTCATCGGCCCCGGAGCTAAGTGCCTCGCTGGGATCGCTGATGACACAGTCGCTGTGCTCCTCCATGCACTCCTCCTCCTCGTCGTCGACAAGCACCTCGGGCTATGGTACGGCGGGCAGGAGTCTGGAGACGCTGGCCACCAATACCACAAGGGCTGCCAACCCGCTGCAGCAGCAGCAACAACAGCAGCAACAGCAACAGCTTTACCAACAAATGGCCAGCAATGCTTTCAAGCCAAAGCCAACAAGTTTAGTAGCGTCGCGTTCGCCGTCGAGTGAGCAACAAACCGAAACGAGCAACGCACGTCGCAGCAGCAGCAGCAGCGGCAACAGTGAGAGCGGCGACGATAGCACCAACAACATCCCCGCCAAGAGGAGCCACACCACAACGCCCACAACTCAGAGATTGTGTAATGTTTATGATAAAACCAGCGAAGGCAACAGTGCCAGCGGCGGCGTCAGCGGCACATTGCCAGTGCCAGCGGAGACACATGTTGCTAGTGCCGCCAGTGATAAGCTGAGCACGCCAGCAACATCCGTCACTCAGAGAGCAACGAATGCCAGCAAATACCATTCCGAGAGCCGAAATCTATGCGAAACCCGGCCAGCGGCAACAACACAAACCTACCTGGCCAGTAGCGGCAACAGCAACAACCAGAGGAGCAGCCACAGCCAAGAAGAAGTGGAAACGAATATACATAAAAATCAAGTACCAGCAGCAGCAGCACAAACTCAGACTCAGACACAGGCACAAGCACTAGCAACTCCTTCGGTAATAACTCGTTTCGGCGGACTTGCAGTCGAAAATGTGGCCAGGCCCAAGCCCAAACCGAGGGCCCAGCAGCTAGATCCCATAGAGCAGCAAAGAGCTGCCAAGAATTTGTCCTCCAATCGACTTATAGAGAGAAACATGTCCGATGAGGCATCATCACCGGCCGCCGCCGCCGTTTCGCATTTGCAGAGCGAGAGCTATGCGGCCAGCAGTCCCGATGAGGCCAGTAGCACTAGCAGCCACGAGGAGGAGGAGGAGCAGGCGGAGCAGGCAGTCAGACCCCGCAAGGCCACCCAAAGGAGTTACAATGTGGCAGCGGCCATGCAGGCGGATGAGGAGGAACAAGCAGAGCAGCTGGAGCGTCACCACAGCACCACCAGCGATGCCAGCTCCAGTTCCAGCTCAAACTCCAGCTCCAGCTCCGAGTCTTGCGATTCCGATGACACGGGAACTGTGGCCGATCGAAGGCCCAAGCGGCGGCGCTTCAACAAGGTGTTTGTGGTCAACCGACAGCCGGGAGCCCGCCGCCAGCGACGCAGCTCCTCCACCGAGGGTGATTCCCTGTCCTCGTCAGAGGCCAATCTAGAGGATTCCTCCGACAATGATACCGACACCGAGCGCACCGACTGCGGCATAGTGCTGAACTATGTGAAGCCGCTAGAAGCGGAGGAGGCGGAGGTGCCCGCCGCACGTGATTGCCAATCGAGCGACGACGACGAAGACGACGACGACGATGATGATGAAAGTGAACGCCACCGCGTTGCCAACTCAAGCGATGAGCTGGCCAACTGCATTGTGGTGGTGGGCGGCCAGACTGACGACGGTGACGGCGTGGTGCTGCATCGCATGCGATCTCTCCCAGACGCCGAACCGGCATTGGAGATGGAGCCGGAGCAATTAGAGCGCCGCCACGATGATGTGATGGATGCCTGCGAGGAGCTCCACAGCATCTCAAACGATGTGAATCGGCTGCTGGAGCTGCACAAGCAAAACTCCCAGCTGGAGATCAAGCTGCAGCGCCTGCGCCAAGGAGTGGCCGAAATCAATGAGGACCTGCAGCTGACCACGGGTACTCCAAGCACTTCTCTGGCTGCCGCCCACTCAGGTAGCACCGCCTCACCTGGCGGGAAACCCAACGAATGCACGACGATTGCCCCTGCTTCGCGGAAAAGCCTCTCAAGCGTACCAAGTTCTAATGACGGCGATGGGATATCTACCTGTGAGCAGGTAAAGGCAAACAGCGATGGCCAGGTAAAGGTACAGCAAGCGAAAGAAGAGGAGGAGGCGGAGGCGAAGAATGAGGAGGAAGAGCGAACAGCTGAGCAAACGCAGAGGGTCGGCGCATGCAGCCAAGCATGCAAAATAAACGAAAACAGCGACTACTCGCTGGACTCGCTCTCCGGCCACGCAGCGAGTAGGGGAGCACCTGAGCCGCTCGAGCAGGTACCACTCCGCTCTCGTCTACCTGTCGCTCGCCGCTCTCAAGCCGATGGCGCAGCCGAAGAGCCCAGCCGCTATCGCTCCGAAAGCGAATTCGAATCGGAATCGGAGTCGGAGCCATCACCAGTCGAACATGAGATGTTAAACGTTGCGGTTGCTCCACGGTCCGCGTTATACGCCGGCAGTAATAACAATAACAACAACAAGAGTAGTACTAACGATACCGATACCACTACCACGAACAACGAACCTGGCCATAATGACGCTTTCGCAGCACAAAAGACCAACAACAACAACAGAGGCAGTGACGTAGTGCTGGCTACACCTCGTGCATTTGAAAGCGGTGAAAACGACGGCTGCGACTACGACAAGATATTCGGAGCTCGCCAGCAGAAGAGCACTCAATCAGCTGGAGCCATGTCTGCAGGAGGAGCTGCATCTTCTGCCGGAGCCACAGCATCCGCCAGCGAACTGGCTTCGCCAAAAAATTCACTTTCAGCCAAGTACCGCAGCCTGGTCATGATCACGAAAGACAACGAAAGTGCAGCTGCTGCAACAAAGGCTGGCGACGATTACGAAACGAACACTAGTACCAACTCCAGCAGCAACAAAGCGGGCCCAAACAGCTTTGGCCAGAACCTCACCCATGACTCACTTCGCGCCATGGAACTGCTGAGCAGCGAACGCGACTCGTACAGTGTGGACTCGCTGAATGAGCCCACCAGTAGCGGGCAGCCGGAACTCTGTCTGGAGGATGGCCTGGCGGACGATGACTCCTGGGTGGAGGAATTAAGCCAGAGGGGCGAGGAAGACGAGGAGGAAGATGAGAACCTAAGCAATGCCACCACCACGCCCACAGCCACGGACTCGGAGGATGCCGAAGGTGAGAGCGAAAACGGACGCCGTCATGGCTATGCGGATCGCGAGGAGGAGTTGAGGGGCTATAACCGTTCGGCCATTGACTTCACCCTGCACACCATCGTCGAGGAGAGCTGCGAGGAGAGCGAGGTGGCCTCCCTGCGGGCGGACAACGAGGATGCAGAACTGGAGGATGAGGATCTGGCAGAGCGGCGAAGACAGCGCACTCTGCAGCACCACCATCGACTGAGTGCCTCTGAGCTGGAGAAGTACTTCTTCTTCGGCCTGGGCGACGGTCGGGTAATGAGCTCGATCGACACGCGTGGCGATGACACCGCCTCGGAGGTGAGTTCCGAGTGCTCGGAGAGCCTGGACTCGCTGCCGCACGAAGAGCAGCTGCTGGAGAGCGGCGGTGCCTCTGATCTGGCCTCCTCCCGCCTCGAGAAGTACTTCCTCTCGGGCTTCATGGGCTTCAGCGGAGCCGAGAAGCAGGCGGAAAGCGACGAGAGCGGCGGCAGTGTGGGCAGCGACAGCGAAGGCCACCCGAGTCCCAGCCAGCGACGCAAGCGCCTGGTGCGAGCCAGGGGTACGCCCCGCAGCCACAACTCGTCGCTGGACAATCTCCTCCTGCCCGAGACGGATCCCATGGATGCCACGGTGACAGCCGCTGCTACTTCCGCTGCGGTGGAAGACACCTCGGAGTCGGAGGCTGGTTGCGACGACACTGTGATCCATCTGGCCAACGCCGGAGCCTCCGATGGCTCTTCCTCGGATACCATCAAGCGGAAGAAGCAGCTGCGCAAGCGCCATGACTCGCTGGATGAGAAGAAGCTGCATGACCTGGAACCCTCCGAGTGCCGGACGCCCACGCCCGGCGGCAGTGGCCAGGTGCAGATGCAGTCGCAGGCCAAGAAGCAGCAGCAACAGCACCACCACAGCCGGGACAGTGGCTTTGTGGGCAGCAACGATGACTTGTTGAAGGCGGCACCAGACTGTGAGCCGCCCAAGAGTCCCACCTCGGCCTTGGAGCAGATCAGCGAAGATCGAGAGCCGGCTGCGTCTCAGATCAGTCTGGCCAAGATGGATCTGCCCAGCACCTCGGCCGCGGCAGCTGCATCAGCGACGGCTTCGGCAGCTGCCTCTCTGGTGCCCAACCAGAGAAGGAACCTCACCCTGCCCAATCTGGTGCGCAAGGATAGCTTCAACAACTGGAGCTCCGACGAGGAGACCAACCTGATGATGAGCAAGATGCGGCAGTTCTTCAAGACTCTAATTGTGGCCACCGCCAATGCGCAGCAGAGCAAGCCCAGCACGCCCAACCAGGGCCAGGGTCAGAGCCAAAGCAGCAGCACCACGCCCAGCTCCCAACGGAGGCTGGCCAAGTCCCGGCCAGCTCAGCTAGCCTACTTCGAGAACGAGTTGACGCGCCTGATGAAAACCGTTCCGGGCATCAACGACGACCAGGTGCGCGAGATAGTCGAGTACCTGAGCAGCGAGGACACTTGGTCGGACTCCTACGACTCCTCGGACTACACCAGCTCCGACCTGGAAGGCGGCGAGCGGAAGGGCCAGCTGAAGGCCCAGATCTCGGCCAGCTGCCAGCAGATCATTAACAAGTTTGAGGTGGACGAGGAGGGCGATCGCGGCGACGGCGGGCTGCTGGACGAGAGCCAGGCCGTACCCATGGAGGCACTGGTTTATCAAAAGCTGGTGGCCTCCTTCAGCAAAGTGGCTGCAGGCGGCGAACGGGAACCCGAAATTGAAGCGGCCAAGGATAAAAATGAGGATAAGGACCAGACCACCACGGAGCGGTCGCCACAGCTGTTTGCCAAGGTGATGCAGCACATCGGCACCCGGCTGGTGGCCCTGATGCACGAGGTGAGCAGTGGCAATGAGACGCCGACGCCCTCGCCGCAGGGCCAGCGCCATCACCGGCGGCTGCAGGCCAAGATATCGGCCACCACGACGGAGGACGAGGAAGATGAGGTGGAGGAACAGCTAAGGGCCATGCCCCTTAAGCAGCTGAAGCTGCGCAGCAGATCACACGATCTGTTGCTGGACGGGATCACGCCGCATGTCCATCATTTACATCACCAGGCCACCGTGCATCATCCAGGAGGAGCAGGAACAGGCGCCGGAGGAGCCGGAGCAGGAACAGGAGGATCCTCATCGGGTCCCGGACACTCGGACAACGCCGGGGAGGAGTGCGGCATGGCCAGCGACTACGAGCGGTTCTCGTGGCGCGGCAGTTTTGAGTCGGCATTACTGGCTAATGGCGACAGCAGAACGAGGCTCAGCCAGCTGAGCCAACTGGACAGGGATAATTCGTCGTCTGCGTCCGCTTTGGCTGTGGCAAAGCGCCGATCGGCAGGCGACCTTCTCTTCAGCCAGCACCAGCAGAGCCTGAGTCGCGAGCAGCTCGACCGCGTCCGTTCCTGCGGCAGCATCGGCGGCGGTGATGCCCATCACCATCAGCTGGAGTCTTCGCCAGCCAAGCCCTGGCTCTCATCGGCGGGGTCCTCGCTCGGAGGCGACTCTACCAAGGATGTGCGCCGTTCCAGTGTGCCGGATGCCATCTACGAGACGGATTCCAGCGATGAGTCGCCATCGAATCAGTTTGGCGGAGCTCGCTCCACGCTGCCGCGCAGCCTGAACTCTGGCCAGGTGGTGGCCAGCACCAACTCCCTGCCACGGCTGCCCACAACCGGAGCGCCCATCACCAGCACGCCCAAGACCAAGTCACAGAGCGCCCTCAACTACACCCCCTCCAACTCGTCCACCGTCTCGGCTACGGGCAGTGCCAAGAGTGCACGCTACCGCTCGCCAGGACTGGCCGCTCGAGCAGCGGCTGTCACTGGTGGTGGCGGTGTGAGTGGCGGTGGTGTAAGCAGTGCTGGTGGTGGCAGTGGCTCTACGGGCAAGAAACTAGGCGCGGGCTTCCAGTTCCTCTACTCCAAGCGCGATGCGCGCAAACGTCTCAACATGTCAGCGGGTGAGTTGCTTGCTCTTTTACTTTCTTCCTCCCCTTCCCGTGTTTACCTTTAGCATACTCCGGGGGTAGGCCACACCTTGGCCAAAAGGGGGGCGGGGATAGTGCGTTCCAAGCGGGACACGCACACCAGGCAGGCGTTAAAGCTCGGATAACCGGCCATGAAATTGCTTCCTTCCTAATGAAAAATTCCTCACACCAAGTGGCAGTGGGAGGAGGACTAGGCGAAGTCGACATATTTCCTCGTGCCAGTCCCAGGAATCTGATCCTTAGACGAGTGGGAGACAGATGACCTTAAGGTGAGGCTATGCACTGTTCAAAAAAGATATATATTTGATATATATTTTCAGGGACTAAATAACAAACTCTTCAACTCGGCAGATAGCTTAGGGCCTAGGAACTTTTTAAAACAACTTATAAATTAAATTATTCTTTTTTAAAGTCACAAATTTTCTTGCTAAATTTGTATATCAAAAATAGGCAAACATTATAATTATTTCTCTGTAAACAGCCCCGAAAACCTGTCACCAAAGGGGGATAATCGCAGTCTACTTTATGCTGATTAGGCTGGGTCCGGGAATCCCAGGAATCCCAGCCGCCTCAGCCTCTCCCTCCGCCTCCTTCCGGATTCCTGCTCCCGATAATAATGTTGTTGTGATGCCAACTCATAGATACTCCATGCTCTAAAGACTAAGACATTTGCTTTGCCCGAAATAAACCCAATCAAGGTCAATTAACTGTATCCATATTAAGAGCCCCGCTCGAAGCCAACTGCGGCTCCGTTTGCCAGTTGTGGCGTTCAAAGCGATTTTCGCACAGTTGCGCACTCAGCGATGATGATGATGATGATGTAGAAGTAGTTTTGGATATATACTAGAGGGGCTCTATGGCTCTGTTCCGCTTGGCGTAGGCGTTCTCTATTTATTATTTGGCCAAAAAGCTGTTTTCGCTTTTGCGGCCAGCAATTATATACGGTTTGGCTTGGTCAATGGAACTCGAACTCGACTCTCATAAAGCAACACTGGGTGCAGGCGGGCTTTGAACTTAGCTGTGTCACCTAGAGATGGGGGATACAGGGAATGGGGAGACTCTGGGGGATGAGGGATGGTTTCCATGAGCTGTGGCTGATGAGGAAGTTCGATGCGGAGGGCACACCTTGATGAGGAACGAAAAAACATGCGGTAAAGTTTTGGCAGATACAATGAAAATGTCAACAATTTAGATAAAACCTTTGGAAATATTTTAAAAAAATATCTACGTAATGATAAACCAGAGAAATTTGTCAGACAATACTGAATTTTGTGGGTAATAGGTGGGTACTAAGCACACACAGAGAGAAATGAATCATAAACCGATAAGCAAATATAGCTAAACGATAGTTTTGTTCAAAACTTTCCACACTTGTGATAAAATGTTTAAATAGAGTTTAAAATAGATAAATACCCAAATGTTTTTATACATATTAATTGGAAAATCTACAAACACTGACTTAATTTACAAATATATTTTTGTTAACACCTTTATAGTTTCATAGAATTAAATTTGATGTTATTATTAAACTCATTATTAAAGTAAAAATAATTAATCATTGAAAGAGAAATCGTATGGAAACTCAATTCGGTGAAATGCCTTTCATGTTTTCCTTTTGATAATTTAGACTTGGCCGTTACGGCAAATTAAACCACAGATAAAGCATTAAAATTATTTATTAAACTTTCATAAGGCCCGGATAAACCATGTAAAATATATATTAAATTTCCATGAAACGAAGAGAGCTAGAATTTCCGGTAATTTATCATTATAAGAAGGGAATTTTCGGTTAATGGAAACACAATGTTTCTGTAGCCTTTCGGCAATTTCACGTTGCCATCACTAAATGCCGTGTGTTTGTCTCTCCGGCAGCAGGTTGTGTTTGCACAGTTTCAGTATTCAGTTTTCAGCTCTCAGCTCAGTTCAACCAACTCGTTTGTCTTGTGGCCAAAAAACACAATTAAAAAGGTGTCCCCCCCTTTAACCCGGGGAACTCGACCCCGCTATTGAACTACTGTACACTTATTCGTACTCAAGAGCTCTTTCAGGTTACTTCCTATATTTATTTTATTTATTCATTTTGCGGCATTTAAAATAAAAATATATTTGCTCGAGAGGTGACATTGCCACCCGAGGAGGTTCGTTTGCCAATTAACCATTTTCCACATCTATTTTCGTGCATCGCTGCACCGCCGGAGTGCGGAAGTGGTCCGTGCTTCGTGTCCACGTCCATTTTCCAGTCCACCACCAGGTCCGTGCCCATCCGGCAGCCGTTTAAGTGTTTTGCACCCAAAACAAAACAAAGCCAGCGGGGGTCCACGTTGCATGCAATACTCGATTTTCACAATTATGCAAATCAAATCGAGTTACAATTATCGCTGCCCCAAAGGCGGAAGCTCTGGAGGAGGATGGGGCTGGGGCAGATCACCCTGACAAAGCGACACTTATGTAGTTGCCGCCGATCGGAGGGGAGCCAAGATCTTGTGGGGGACCCCTAATTTAATTAACCTCTCTGCCCGAGACGGCCGAGACGGAATACGCAGAAATACAAAATGAAATATGTATCTCTACATATAGAACATTCCCAGCAAATCTCTGATGGTCTGGCGAGGAGAGATCTGGGAATATTGGGATTGTATTCTAATTTATAAAGAGAGATAGATAGACATATATCTTGATTTAGGAAATATGATAAATTTATTGACATAGACAAAGACATAAAGTGATGTTATTCATTTCTTCCGTTTAAAGATTTTCCATTGGCAAAAGAAGTAAATAAGTTTAATATAATATAAACAATGAAATGTATTAAATTAGTAGATTTTATTAAGATTTAACAATTAATTAATTATCCTCTGAATATTAATTAATTTATCATCTAGTCCTCTTTACATTTCTCCAAAAACAACCCTCTTTCGGCGAGTGCTTTTCGTGACTTTGTTAATTGCATTTTCATTGGCTAGGCGCCCCTCGCGACCCCAGAGTTCAATATTTAAATAATTGAATAAAACTTAGATTTGGTCGGTCGCCCTGACCATGTTTGCTTGTGGAATTCTGGAATTCTTGGGGTTCTGGCTGCGACACCCATCTGTGGATCAGTTGCCGAGCCTCGCGGAACCGGACTGGATGGGCTCTACACCGCGAAATTCCTACTCCGAATCCGATTCCGATCTTGACTCGTTGCTAGTATAGTGAAAGTGAATAGAGTCTTTTGCTCGCTCTGACTTTTATTTTGTTTGGGGCTTTGGTATTGGCTTGTTATTTTCTCTCTTTATTATATTTTTTTTGTTGGTTTTTAGGGCCTGAGTTTGTGGCCTTCCCGCTCACGTTTACCGGGCGGAAATTATAGAAGTGCCATTAAAAAAGCGAAAATGAAATGAGATATTTGTCAACAAATCGTGACTGCATAAAAGAAATTCAAATATAAATTCAAATGCAAACACCTTTAAGAGCCACTGAAGTGCCCGTTTTAATGGGATATTCCTCCGTTTAATTGCACATTCGGATCGCTGGGCAATTCTCAACGCTCTGGGTGTAATCTGACCCAGTTTTATCTGTTGGTTGGTTGGCTGGCTCCCTCGATTGTTTGCCGTTCCCTTCGATTTCACACCTTTATTTCGGTCGCTTTGGCCCAAGGCTGTGGCAAGTTCAGGGCCGCTTCGCATTTCGACTTAATTAAATTGGCTGTTTTTATGGGCCAGGTGCCAGCTATCTAAGATAAGCGCCCCTTAAGCGACGATCAAGTGCCTCAATTACGTGCCCAAATAGCCAAAAAGATTGCTTGTCGCCGGGCCTCTTATCGAAAGGGCCACTTCCACAGCGAAATTTCAACAATCATTAGTTATCAGTGAATTCTGCACTGATATATCCGATATATCTGAAAGATAATAATTACAAAATCGTGCAAAAATGTTCAGAAATAATTTATTATCAAAGTTGAAACTATTTTATCAGCTTGTGCGCTGAACCTGTTTATAACAAATAACGAAAAGCCAATAAAGCAAACACACAACTTTGTATCTGTCGCGATAGAGTTGTCAGGTTTTCTTTTCCAAGAATTTATTCTTTGAATGATTTGATAAGTTTTTATCTTATAAACAAGAGAAAGCCTTTGTTTAGTTTCTATAAACTTAAAAAAATTAGCACAAACTCTAGCAAAAATATAACTGGCTTTCCCTTTAAGCAGAATAATATATAATTAAGTACGCAAAACTCAGAGATATCTTAAGAAATTACAGAAAATAAAGGGGTTCCAAGTAGTAATATAATATGAGAAGCTCTTTTTAATGTTTCCACCAAATTTTAGTCTCTTTTAAAAATATCTCCAACTGAAAACCCCAAATTAAAACCACATTTTAAGTCAAAGAATTCCCCTCAAATGACTCATTTGCCAAAAACCAAAAGCCCCTCGCATTTATCTCTCAAACTCAAACCTCTCTAATTGACTCAAAGTGTTGCGGGGGAAATTGGGAAATCCATCCGATGACAACTGTCAGCTGGTTGGCGAAACCAAGTGAGCCAAAAGTGATACACGACTGCAGATGACACAAAATAACAAAAAGCGGTCACCAATTAATCTCGCCACCAAAACGCGCAATTGTGAAATGAAAAGTCAAGAAAATGAAGCGAGTGACTCGTTTAATTGGTCCGCAACGCGCTTCCAAGTCGAGTTCCAAGTCGAAAGAAGCCATCGGCGGCAGCTATAATGTGTTTGCCTCTGGCTCCGCCAAGAGATCCCCTTCAGCCCAGGCCCAGACTGCGCCGGCTCCGCTGGCTCGGGTGCATAACTATGGCAGAGCTAACTCCTCCAGCCAACTGCCCTCCAGTTCAGCTGGCAAAATCCAGTATGCCGCCTTAAATCGCATGCGGAAAAAGCGATCCGAAGATGGAGGACAGAAGCTTCGCAGGAAGTCCAAGTGGCGTCGCCTCTTGGGCAAATGTTGGGGAAAGAAGCGGCGTCGTCAGCGGAACTATAAGGATTACTGGAGCAGTCATGTGGCCAAGTCCAGGGGTAGTCTCTTTTCCTGCTGTGGCTGCTGTTGCAGCAGAAAGTCATCCCAGCGATATGAATACGATTCCGAGGAGGAGGATGATGACATTGACGCCAAGGTGGCTGCCTACATGCTGGAGCTGAAGCAGCGCGAGGCGGTGAACAGCAGCAAACAAAGTGAGAACCAGGTTGAAGAGACACCGAATCCTGTGCCCCCGGAGCAGCCCCATCTGCAGCAGCAGCAGGCAGCCCTCGTTAAGCGACGAGCCTGGACCTGGGACGACAGTCTGAGGTCCAACTCGGATAGGTTTCTGGAGACTCTCGAGGAGGATCTGTCGGAAACTGCCGAGGTGGTGGCTGCCATTGCTAATGGAGCTGCTCCTGGGGCCAGGATGTCGCTGATCCTGCACCGCCGCACCCCATTGCATGTGACCTTTGTGGAAAGCGATGAGCAGGAGGACCAAGAGGAGTCTCGGGAGCAGGAACAGGCAGCGGTGCAAGGTAGGCGGTTACGGCTTTGTTTGCCTGCCACCAACTGCATGCTCCTTGCACCCAGGCTGCGGTCTTCTCCACCGATCTTTCTTAATTAAATCCAACATAATGATCTTGTGAATCTCAAAGTTCTCCTTAGGAGTCGGAAAAATAAATTATATTTTAAAGAAAGAAATAGGGAAGAGTAACGAGCTTGAACCATTGATCGTTAGCTAAATATAACCACCAGCATTTGCCATCGATTGGCCGCGATGATCATTCATCATCAGCAGCAGAGTACATGGGTGATTAGCCTTAATTGTGGAAAACTCCAGTGCTAATTGATGGATTTTCTTTTCTATCTTTGCAGAGGAAGCCAAAGCCGCCGCCGAGGAGCTGACACGATCGCCGGTGATTGGAAGTCGTCAGGCAGATGCCAGCTCCAGTCCCATCCAGTCGCGTGCCTCCAGCGAAACGTGGCCCCAGCAGTCGGATGAGGACATCGATCGACTGGTGGCCATGCACCAGAACCGCAGCAGTCTCAGCTCGCTGGGGGTGAGTAACAAAACACTGATAACAGTGATAGCAGTGACTTTATGTCTTAACTTTTATCACAGGTTCGCTCGGAGTCCATGGCCAGCGTTTACTCTGGAGCCGGCGAGGGTCGCTATGGCACCGTGGTGGTCAAGGGCCAGGTGGAGTTCGGCATGCAGTACAACTACAAGCTGGGCGCCCTGGAAATCCATGTGGTGCGCTGCAAGGATCTAGCTGCCGTTGATGCCAAGCGCAACCGCAGCGATCCCTACGTGAAGGTGGGTGTTACTTTCCTCTAAATACTCTTGGATCTTTCCTAACTTTTGGATGTACTTTCCAGGTCTACTTGCTGCCCGACAAGTCGAAGGCTGGCAAGCGCAAAACCAAAGTCAAGAAGCACACCCTGAATCCCATCTTCGATGAGACAATGCGCTTCCACACGCCCATCTCCAGCCTGGAGTCGCGTACACTCTGGCTGACCGTGTGGCACTCGGATATGTTTGGGCGTAACGACTTCCTCGGCGAGGTCAGTGTCAATTTGCAGGGACGCGTCTTTGACAATCCCCAGTCGCAGTGGTACCTGCTCCAAGAGCGAGTAAGTAACAAAATACTTAAAATATTATAAGAGAACATTTCTAATTAATTTGTACTTTTCCAGAGCGAACCCTTTGACGAGGTAGCCACCTACAGGGGCGACATTGTGGTGGGCCTGAAATACATTCCCCCGGAGAGTTTGAAGTCGTCGTTCTTCTCACGCGGCTCCTCGCTCACGGGCAGTTCCTCGAACCTGCGCAAGTTTGGCGGCAGCATCAAGTCGGTGGCCTCCAAGTCGGACCGCAGCACCAAGGGCGGTCAGCTGCATGTGCTGGTCAAGGAGGCCAAGCACCTGAGTCCCATCAAGGCCAATGGCACCTGCGATGCCTTTTGCAAGAGGTGGGTTCTGAACACTCCTTGAGTTCCTCAAATAAATCTAACTAAATAAATTTCTTAATCCCTTAGCTATTTGCTGCCTGATCGCACAAGAAGCTCCAAGCAGAAGACGCCTGTGGTAAAGCGCACCCTGCATCCCAGCTGGAACTATACTTTTGTGTACGAAGATGTCTCCCTGGAGGATTTGTCGGAGCGCGCCCTGGAGCTCACAGTCTGGGATCACGATAGGCTGGCCAGCAATGAGTTTGTTGGCGGCATTCGCTTCTCTCTGGGCACAGGTGAGTTGGAAGAAGGAACACCCTTAAGAGAATCCTAGTTATTAAATTGTGGTTTCCCTCCCAAACAGGTCGCAGCTATGGCCGTCAGGTGGAGTGGATGGATGCCACCGGCAAGGAGCTCTCCTTGTGGCAAAACATGCTAGATCGTCCCAACTTTTGGGTGGAGGGCAGCTTGGTGCTACGCTCCAGCTTGGATGGCATTCGAGCCACTTTGCCATAGGAAGTTTGGAGGAGCAAAGAAGAGCCACTGACTCGCAGTTAGGATGGCACAGCAACACTGCATTGTATTGTATTGTATTGTATTTGTATTAATTATGCGATAATTATCAATTAGCGAACACAAAAACTCTGAGAAGCATTACTAGCGCCGTAAGGATAAAGGCAGGAACGACCAGCACTTACACAAGTTAGAGTTAAGTGTGTCAGAATGATGATGATGAAGATGATACTCGAATACGGCGGAATGCGGCGATGACGCTGCAAAAAGTAGACAAAACAAAGGCAGAAAAAAAAAAACTATAAAAAACAAAACGTTATCAAGTTTATGGCACTAATTGTAAGCGCTATTCTCAGCTACTCGATGCAGATAAAAACCATGAAAAACTGTAAAAACCACGATGAGACCCAAGGTTGGTCCGCCTAGATATTAAGCGAGTTTGTATGTGTGTTTTTTTCCCCACCTCTCTCCCCCCTGAGAGAGGCAATCGCAATTCGCATACTGTATGCACTAAACTACGATTAAAAATTACCCCTAAACGTATAATATATATACTAAATACCTAGTTAAATCGAGGCATAAGCTTACCGTGTACAACTCTATCCGTAATATTTCGAATACGAGAAATACAAATGACACTTTTGTAAATGCTGCAATTTTTGGTTTATTTTCCACTTTTTTGTTTCCTAGATCCTAAGGTGAACTACATGCATATACATATACCTATTCCGACGTCATACATATCGCAAACATTGTGCAAATCCAGCAAAGCTTCAGCTAAACTTAACTTAACTAAACTGACTAAGCAATCAATGATCAATCAATTCCCACAGCAGCCAATGATATCACACCTCTCCCTCCAATATCTGAGTATTGTGGAATTTACGAATAGTGTGTACTGAAGATGCATTGTTTCAGAGAAATCACTTTTAAGAATACAACAAACGAGTCTTATGAATGCTTTTGGTGTAAGTGGATATATATTTACCCTGAACGTGAATATAATGCGCATATAATATTTAACGTTGAAGGAATACATACTTGTCAACAATTTATAGAAGATGTTTTTTATAAAAGAAAATTGCTGAATCACTCGTTGCCTAAATACCGCTTGTCTTTTATACTCGATGTTTTCGAAACACACACACACCACACACAAGTAATACACACATGCCTGCAAAAATTCGATGATGATCTACTCCAACACGGCAGTCGATCAAAGGAGAGATGTGAGCATAGAATACTTTCTCTAAATCAGCATATGATAAATGTCAAACAATAAGCAGCAAATATTGCAAAAGTAAATGGTATTTAGTAGCATAGAAAGCCCAGAATAAACATATATACACGATACTAACATAACTCTACCCGCGAATAGTTCATAATCTAAGGTTGAAGCGTTTGCTGTTCGATTCGGCTCTCTAATCTAGCCATAAATTCGTTGAGAGCCCAATCGCACCCACACACACCCCTAATATATAGTTATATTATACAAGCAAAATGCATATATAGTCATAATTTTTTCCCTCTAAAGTCTTCAGAATGTTTCAATGTTTACTACATGTATATTTTTCTACTACTTACTATGTACTACTTACCACCTAAAAACCAAGTATATCACTTACCTTAGGGACTCGCAGGGACGACAAGGCGCTGTGTTTTAACAGCAGCCACCCCTTGGGTTCCACTAACTCACTTACTCACTCACTGAGACGATGGTGCTATACTCGAATATATAGGATACTCGCGCCCGGTCTCAGGCAGCGAGGTCTACGAGGACTGGGGGAGATCGATCTTTTTACCTTTTTACTGTGTGTACATGCATTTCGGATTCAACTATTGTGAACTAGTGTTGATTAGAGACCTAGAGAGGACGATGCAGACTCCACACCTACCTACTTTATACATATACATCTACTGAGATACATACTTGTAAACCTACTATAGCCCCTTTACAAGCGACGAAGCGATCGCATTCCCTAGTCTTAAGCCATTCAAAAGGGAATATATTTGTTACTTGAAGACCTTAGCGATAGGTTATTTCTATAGAACGTTTTTCGACGCTGCGAGGTCAGTCGGACGGAATAATAAGGTTACCAGATATATCGGAGGATATCGGAAGAGAGAATATTTATGTACCCATTGTATTTGTTAGCATTCGCCAGAATTGCTCATAGAAAAAACCCCCCAAGCTAGATTATTATCAATGTAAGCCCCCAAGGAAAATATGTTAGGCCAAAGAGCCACGCCCCCAAAAAGGAAAATTACACTGTTGCGTTAATGTAGAGAACTTTTTTAGCGAATACACACTCACACAAAAAATATACATAGTAATGGACGAAAGACGCTGCGGTTGCCTTCCTATATAAACATATGGTAAATCTATGTTGTTTCATTGATAGTATCTATCCTGCATCCCAGTACTGCCCTAGGAACAATCTCTGACTCCCTTTTATATCATGTTAAACTGAGTAATTAAGTTGATCCTTCCGCTAAACTAAAAAGCAATCGGTGAATCGTTGCCTGTCTAGTTTCCAATTTTATAATCTTGCGGCAACCGGCGACATTGGCCCTAAATCACTTCGTCTGCGCTAGACTTTACACTTAGATTTAAGATTAAAGAGAACGGAGCTGCTTGATATTGAGTTTAAAAATTCAAAGATTAGAAATTGCATGCCAGAGTTTGTAAGACTTTCTAAGGAGCAGAGTAGGAGGAGGCCGATCAAGTTGTAAGCGTTATGTTTATGGCATTTAAGCGTTACATAATTACAAGAGTTTACATAACCATTTACAAGATACAAAATACAAGATACAACATACAATATACAACATACAAGATACAAGATACAAGATACTTATGAACCTTTTACTTACAAGTAAGTACTTAATACAACAGCAACCATACCGATACCGATACCGATTGGCTCAATGCTAAGTTGCTAAGTTAAAATTGTGTTACAAAAATTTGTGAACAGCAGTGAATCGATACAAAATAAAGCAAACTTCACATCTATTGACAAATTTCGCAACTATCTCGTGTCTGACTGCACTTTCTTATCCCCTGAGGCAATGTCTGGGTTCAAAAGTCTTTTGGGGAAATACTATGCTTTTCTTTGGCTTTGTTTATCACTACACTTCCGCTTCCGGCTTTGCCTGTCCATTTAGCTGCTGCAGCCTCACTTCCTCTGCCGGCTCCTTGGGCACGTCGTCATCATGCCGGCGCCAGCAGTCGAAGGACAGTATGGACTCATCCTTGCCAAAGGCCTCGCCATCGGCCAGGGTAATGGGCAGTTGCCTGTTGGTATAAAAATGTAAGCTCCAGAAACCTCTCTCGGAAACTAGTTACTCCTCTCACCTGTTATTCGTCTCCGGCAGCATTAGGACACAAATGGACGCCGACATGAGGAGCAGGGCCAGGATGAGGGATGGAGCTGCCGCCAGTTTGGTGCCCAGGTGTATGAGATAGGGCGACACAAAGGAGGCTCCTGCCGCGGCCAAATGCACGGCAGCAATGCCGCGCGAGCGCACACAGGTGGGCAGCAGCTCTGAGGAGAACTGCGAGGTCACCGTGTAGCACATGGAAATGCCTAGGCGCATGGGCAGGGCGAAGGCTAGCAGCAGGGTCACGTTATGCTGGGCCCCCTCCGTGGATAGGGCCACGCCAAGGGCGCAGGACAGCAGCCCAGTGCAGAGCATGGCCAAAAAGGCCGTGGCCTTGCGTCCCACACGACTCTGCAGGAGTCCTTGGATAAATCCAGAGGGTGGCACCACCACGGCAAAAAGGGAGAAGACCACAAACGGCGACAGGCCCAGGCCCTCCACATTCCGGGAGATGGTATTAAAGCTCAGCGAGGTCAGCATGCTTAGGACATAAAAGGACAATAATAAAAATCAAATAGGAAACCAAAGAGAGTAGTTTACTCACAAAGTAATCACCACCAGCAGCGATGTCTTTCGAAGATTGGGAGTCCGCAGTAGATCGATAATTCCTGCCGTCTGCTCTGGTTGATTCGAAAGTTTTCTCTTGACGATGCAGTGCCTCCTGAAGGCCTCAAAGTCGCTTGCCGGCACTTCCTGTCCATTAAAATGAGCGATATGCTTTAGCCTGGCTATAGCCCCCTCCACATTGGTCCTTGTAATTAGCCACTGGGCGCTCTCTTGGACCACAAAGTAGAACAAAGCCACCACCAGCTGGAGCAGGGCCGAGCAGGTGAGGTAGATGCGCCAGTTGCCGGCCAGCACAGACAGCCAGGGAGCCACCAAGGCGCCCAGGCAGAAGCAAATGCCCAGAGTTCCACTGATGGCCAAGTTACGCAGCTTGGGGGCCAAGTATTCCAAAACTTGAAGAGGGAAATTGGAAAATATATATTAGTTTGGAATTTTTTTTAGGAAACTTTTAGATTTAAAAAAGGTTTAGAAGAGCGGAATGGTAATAGATATTAAATATTTAATAATAAAAATGCCTGACAAAGTTAATAATAATTCAATTTCTCATTAGAAATGCTATTTCCAAATATTAAATAATATTTAATAAAATAAATAATATAAAGAAGATAAGAAATACTAAGAAATGACACATTACAGGATATAATTAACATTTTCAGGGTCTACATTAACATTTTTAATAGCCGTTTTCTAACTTAACTACCAAAGAGATATGATATACTAATACAAATGATTCATTTCTTGTTATTTTTTAAGCAATTAAATAAATTTTTGTTTACTTGGCATGAAGTCATGGGAAAACAAAAAATACTTGATTATTTTACGTGACCCTAAAACCTTTAAAAATCATCAAGTTTTATATTTTCTCAAAAATTTAAACTCTAGTAAGATATGTAAGCACACGCTTCTACGTAAATCCAAAACAAAAGATGACAAAATAAACCAAAGTTAAACTGAATCAAAGCAGTTGTTGAACCTCAAACTCAGGAATAAACAAAAATGAATCCCTTAATGCCACAGATAAATCAGACAGCCATAAAGGTAAGTTTTCGAAATCAAAAATAACCCTCCAGATGTTCATAACCTTCTGTAAACCCAAAACTGATGCGTAACTTGGTAGGTCTTTATGGCAATCATTAGGAATACAAACTGTTGTTGACTCTGAACTGTGTGTGCCAGTTGAGGTGTGTGTTTGTGTGTGTTTAAAAGCTTTCCCCAGATCTACACAAGACTCGAGATACCGTGTGCTTACCCAGAATAAACATCAGATAGTAGTTAGCCGTGGCAGCGAGACCAGAAATGCATCTAAAGATGGCAAACTGCACCAGGTTGGAGGCGTAGGTGGTGAGGAAGTCGCCCACGAATCCACACTGGTTGGCTAGTATTACAGCCCGCACCCTGCCGATCTTGTCACCCAGCATCCCAAACGTAAAGGTGCCCATCAGGGAGCCGAGGAAGAAGAGCGACTGTCCGATTCGCGCCTTGTACGCATTCTGACAGACCCAGTTGAGCTGTTGGAAGAGAAATTATTTTTAGTCTCAAGAGATTCTTGTAAAGGTTACAAGCTGCCAGCTTACCTCCGCATTCATACTGCGAAATCCGTAATCATAATTGTATATCCAACGCTGACAGGCCTCCGTGCTCACCGTCACCCTGTCACCCTCTATGGTGTCCAGCCGGGTGCAGGAGGCCTCCTTCCCAAACGGAGCATAGATAGCCGCAATCTCCTCGAAGCTCAGATTCGCTAGCTTCTCATGGTAGCACCAGTGCTGCGGCACGAACCCGATTATGTTTTGCGAATAGTAGTGCACGGTGGTGGTAAAGGCGATGTAGCCGAGCAGCAGAATCATCAGGTACTGATAGCGACCCGCATTGCCGCACTTCTCCAAGATCTTGTCAAAATCCATGTCCCCCAATGTCGTGCTCTCGCTGAGATTCTATTAAGACTAAACGCTCGAGCAACCATTCCGTGCGATCCAATCCGATCCGAAGCGACCACGAAACGAGGCGAAAGAGTGCACGTTGGTCTCCGTCTCCGTCTGCCTCGATCCGCGATAAGATTGTTTTGGGGGCGGCTTATCGCCGCACAGCGGGTCTGCTCAAACGAGAACGCTTTATTATATTAAGTGAACTCACTCATTCACTCCAATCTAAACAAAAGCCGGCGGCGTCTCGCGAGAAGGAAGGAAGAAAACCTTCTTCTCTCGACTGGAATAGATAAACACTCGCGTGGTGACCTCTGAAATGTGAATCGAATACACAAGTGAATGGACTCTTAATAAACCCGAAACACAAAGAGCCGCCCCTCTTCAAGTGCATAAAAGGTCAAGAGTGAGCTCGGATAAAAGCATGAATGACACGCCAGATTCGTCAAAATGAACACGAACATACCCTTGATTGGAATGTAAGTATTATTTTAGAGAAACTTGAATGGAATTTTTTTGGATTAGTAACTAGCAAGATATGCTGCAGCATGCAAAGATTAGAATGGAAAGGCAAAACATATCTAATCACTTTTGTATTTAATTCTTTAATTAAAATATTCCCTTAAAGCATAAACAGTTTAAAAATAACTAAGAAACATATAAACAAACCCGCGCATCAAGTAATAAAAATCTTTCATATACACTCGCCAGTTTTCTTAAATAAACCGATAGCAGTAATAGTTATTACCAGTCTTTCTCGCAATTCTTATTGTCATGTTATGTACGCCAGTTAATTATGCCCATTATGTTGTTATTAGTCTACGTTTTTTATGACCTAGATAAAGCGCTCTCAGATCTGCTATCACTGGTCTTAAGACAAAAACATCAACAATTTATAATAGGAGGTAATTATAAAACATAAATCTATTAGCTCGTAAGTACGAATAATTAGGACAAAATAAAGTCATAACAAAATAATAATTATTTGGTTAAATTAAATGCATTTGAATTACTTTCCAAAATCAATTCGAACCCTATCAAAATGGGAAAGCACCTACTAAGTGAGTACCCTTAGTCCGCCATCAGCTTCTCGTTGGTGCCTTCGGCCTTGAGATCATCCTCCTCCGCCTCCTCCCTGGAGCGTCGCAGAAAGTCAAACATCCGCTCGCCCTTGCCAAACTCCTCGCCCTCGGCCAGGCTCATGGGCAGCTTCTTGTTTCGCGTCTCCGGCAGCAGCAGGCAAATCCAGGCGCTGAACAGCAGCAGCAGGCAGAGAATAATTGAAGATGCTGCTCGAAAGTAGGTGTCCAGATGCAGGATAAATGGCGAAAGGAAGGAGAGGGCTGCGCCCGCAACATGAACCACAGCCAGGCCACTAGAACGCACGCAGGTGGGCACAAGCTCGGCCGATATCTGCATGGTGGCTCCTGAGGTGACAGAGATGCCGAAGCGAGAGGCCAGCATCAGAGCGACCATTACAGCGACACTAGGCTCCCGCCAGAGACTGAGCAATATGCCGCTGGCCGCAGTAAGCGCTCCAGTTACGGCCATGCTGGTCACTGAGGTGAACTTGCGGCCCAAATGACGCTGGGTGAGGATCTGGACGATACCCGAGGGCGGCAGGGTCAGAGCAAACAGGCTGAACATCACGAAGGGCGACATACCCAGACCCTCCACATTCCGGGACATGGTATTGTAGCAGAGCGTGATTATCGTGCTGCCAAGAAAATTTACGAGTTATTCAGATATTTTAAAGCAAACTAGTTATGAAATCAAGAATTTGCTATTGACATGGAGAACAATGGGATCTGAAAAGTCGACCTAGAAGCTTAATCTTAAGTCTATTATGGCACTATTTTTGCTAGCTTATTCCAGTTTGGGATTTACGGTTTAAATATGCTTTTGTTATAAAAACTTTTTCATAATAAAATATCACTCTAGTATCTTAAATATGTATGTTGGGGTTACACCTTTGTTTGTAAAAATTAGAAAATTTGTTTTTAAAATTAAATAGATCCTAATTTATGAATTCAAATATATTTTCTTTAACTAGAAAGCATATATAGCACCGAAGAAGCAAAGTTTTTCTACTCACAACACAACCAGCACGTAGATGAGCCTCAGACGCAGCCTTGGAGACTTGAGGGCATCCACAAGGCGCGCTTGCCTTTGCAGGGATATCCGGCTATTAGCCTCCGATGCTTTCGACTTGCAGTGCTGCCTGAACAACTCGAAGTCCGCCTCGCTGACCTCTCGCCTGTTGAACTTGGCCACGCGGCGCAGACGCAGCACAGCACCGTCAATATCATGGCTTGTGACCAGCCACTGGGCACTCTCTTGTACCAAAAAATAAAAGCAAGTGACTAGAACCTGCGGCAAAGCCGACCAGGCCATGTAGTAGCGCCAGTTGCCCAGCCAGACAGCATGCCACGAGGCACTGATCATGCCCAGGCAGTAGAAGATGCTCATGGTTAGGTTTAGGCCCACACTCCGCATCGAAGGCGACACATACTCCAACACTGGGATGGGGAATAGGTAGTTTTCAGTAATCAAGAACTATAGATTTATGGCCATAACATACCCAGAATGTACATAAGATAGGCGTTGGCCTCGGCCGCCAGACCAGAGGCAAAGCGGCTGGCCGAGAAGGTCACCAGGCTTTGGGCGTAAATGGTGGCCGAGTCGCCCAGGAAGCCACACCAGTTGGCCAAAACCATGGCTCGAATGCGTCCAATCTAGACATATACGCCGCCGCGCCACGCCGCCGCCGCCGCCGATTTTTGCCTTATTTGACGCGCCGCCGCCAAATTATGAAAATAACGGCGCGCCGCGGCGCGCCGCTGGTGCGGCATCGGCGCAGCTTCAGCGCGGCCTTCAGTGTCATTGTTCTTTATAAAACTTAAAAAAAAAAAAAATAACTCATTAAAATGGCCTTTTTGCCTTATTTGACGCGCCGCCGCCGCCGGTTCTTTCTGACTACTACGCCGCCGCCGCCGAGTCATTTTGACCTCTACGCCGCCGCCGATGCCTTTAACCATCGGCGTAAACCTCTAGTCCAATCCTATCGCCTAGGAGACCAAAGAGCAAAGTGCCGCACATGGAGCCCAGGAAGAACAGGGATTGACCCACACGGGCCTTGTAGGCGGAATCACAGACCCAGTTCAACTGAGGAAAATGTACAATTTTAGGTCAGGAACTCTCTACTATAGTAGCCTCTTACATCGGCATTCATGCTCCGGAATCCATGATCATAGTTGTAGATCCAACGAGTGCAGGGCTGACCGCTCGCCGTGGCATTCATCGAGTCCCAATCAATAGACGCCAGTTGGGTGCACGAGGGACTCTCAAATGGTGCGTAAATAGCGGCGATTTCGGCATAGCTTCGATTCTCCAGCTGCTCGTGATAGCACCAGTGATCGGGCACGAAGCTGATGACGCTCTGGGCAAAGTAGTGCCGGGAGACGATGAACATGAGCAGCCCGTAGAGAGCCAGCAGCATGTACTGGTAGCGATGGCAGTCTCCGCACTTGCCCAGTATCTTCTCAAAGTCCATGGCCATGGATGCAACGGAATGCCGTGGAGTTAGCTCGTCCGCCACTCGTCCCGTCGTCGTCGTCGTCCGCTCTCTTCTGCTGCCACGCACTTACTGCCAGCCAGCCCAGCTGCGCTCTGGGTTTCCCAATCCGCTCCGAATAGTTAAGAGCGGCGCGTCGTTGTGAAAGCTGATATTGTGGAGTTGAATAGTTGGAACCACTCTGGGGGCTCTCCGCGGCTGATAAGTGCCTCAGTCGCAGCATTCGCCGCACTCGCCTCAGATGGCCGAATCGAACGCACGATTCCCATTCCGATTCCGATCGTAACTTAAACGTATTGATTTAATTATTATGGCTGATAAGCGGCTCTACCATTCAAGAAATATACAACTCTGTTATTGCTAATTTATACAGATAGCCGATCTTAAAGACAAGGCAGTGGCATGATTATTCTCAGGCATATTGAGTTTTTTTGGGCATTTTTATACCAAGACTACAGTTGAAATATTAGGTTTATGTTCCAAAACTTTGCCAATTTATATAAATTTATATTGTTTAGTTTTTTAACTTATATTTAGGTATGTTTTCTATATTTATCTCTTTTATTTTTCCTACGTAACATTTCACATTTATTACTTCCTGTGATTCCGATTTATGGAAACTCCTAATGCATAGCTAATGAAAGTTTATTGAAACCATAAATAATACTAACTTATCGTATATTAAAAAGTCAGATACGAACAGATTGCCATATTTGTGGCTTATGGCCCGAAATACATTAAACAGATAACAGAAATACCCACTTTAATCAGGATTTCTGTGATTTTGTCATCAGAGTATCTTCCTCCACAGGCTTGGTGCTCATCTCGACCTCTGTTGCATTGCTCTCTCCCCTCCGGAGGTTGGTCAGAAAGTCAAAGATGCCCTCTCCACGGCCAAACTCCTCACCTTCAGCCAACGACATGGGCAGCTTCCGGTTGCGCGTCTCCGGCAGCAGCAGACAGACATAAGCGCCGGACAAGAAGAGTAGTCCCAGGATGATAGAGGGAGCTGGCTTAAAGTACGTGCCCAGGTGCAAGATGTACGGTGAGAGGAAGGAGGCAGCAAACCCGGCCACATGCACCACGGCCACACCCCTGCCGCGTACGGAGGTGGGGATCAGCTCTGTGGAGAACTGCGAGCTGGCGCCATCAGCAATGGACACCCCAAATCTGGCAGCCAGGGTCAGGCCCACCAAGAGCACCACGCTCCGGCTGCTGCCTTGGGCTATCACCAGGCCAGCGGCGGCGGCAAAGAGGCCGGTGATGGTCATCCAACTGACTGAGGTGGCCTTGCGCCCGATCTTGTCCTGGAGCAGGCCCTGAAGATAACCAGAGGGCGGTAGGGTCAGGGCGTTAAGCGAGAACATGACAAAAGGAGAGATGCCCAGACCCTCCACATTCCTGGCAATGGTGTTGTAGCAGGGTGTGATTATGATGCTACAAGAAAATAGAATAATAATATTAATTAGGGACCTTGAATCAACATTAATTACTCACAAAATAAGCAACAACTTAATGGCAGTGCTGCGCATGCGTGGCGTTTTGAGCATGTCCAGCAGACGGACATTAGTTTGCTCCGCCTTGGCCTCCTTGCGGTAGTGCTCCTCGCAGTAGCTGCGGAAAGACCTGAAGTCTTCGTCAGCCACCTGGCGGCGATTGATCTTGGCCACACGCTGCAGGCGTCGAATGGCTCCGTCGATGTCATTACGTGTGACCAACCACTGGGCGCTTTCCTGGACAAGAAAGTAGAACAGAGTGACCAGGAGCAGCGGCACCGAAGAGCAGGCGAGGAAGAGGCGCCAGTGACCCACCCAAACGGCCAGCCAGGAGGCTCCTATCAGGCCCAGGCAGTAAAAACTACCCAGGACTGTGTTGAGACCCACATTTCTTAGTGAAGGCGAGACATATTCGAGAACTGGTAAAGTTAATTAAAATTAAATTAATTTTAAATGAAATAAAAGTCTTGGCCAGTTACTTACTCAATATATACATGAGATAGGAGTTGGCATCGGCCGCTAGGCCAGACACAAAGCGGCTGATCGAGAATGAAACCAGATTCGTGGCGAATATGGTTGAGAAATCGCCCAGAAAGCCACACCAGTTGGCCAAAATCAAGGCCTTAATACGTCCAATTCGATCGCCAAGCAGGCCAAAGACCAGAGTTCCACAAACCGAGCCCACAAAGAACAGAGATTGGCCCACTCTGGGCTTATAAGCCTCATCGCAAACCCAATTGAGCTGGAAAGGAACAGTTAAGAGATATTATGTAATTTATAAAATTATTAAGCTCAGTTTTTATTAATTGTTTTGAAGTAAATCAACTCAACTATTTAAGTAAATCAACTCACCTCCGTATTCATACTTCTATACCCAAAATCATACTTGTAGATCCACCGACTGCATCTTTTCGAGCTCTGCGTGTGATTCCGCCCATTCTCATCTATCCTCTCCAGTCGCGTGCACGAGGGCTTCTCAAACCCCGAATAGATTGCCTCGATCTCGGCGAAACTGCGATTCTCCAGCTGCTCGTGGTAACACCAATGATCCGGCACAAAACTGATGACGTTCTGCGAGAAGTAGTGCATGGATACGACCACCATTAGGTAGCCGTAGAGCGCCAGCAGCAGGAACTGATAGCGACTGCTGTGGCCGCACTTGGCCAGAATCTCCTCGAAATCCATGCTGACGACGATATTCGATTTTTGCGGCCTCCAGACTTCAGCGGCGTTGGCAATGTTGTGGTGATAAGCGCATATCTGAGAAGGGGTCTGGCCTCTACGGGGAACTGGAAATGGGACTGAAACAGAGACCGGGACGGAGAGCAGCTAGCTAATCACCTGCCGGTTCTCAGAATCGGTTTATTGGTCCCCGGCTCCTGGGTGTATCGAACGCTGTTGAAACCCGTTCCGCCTGTGTTCTGGTGGCACGGAGCGCAAGCTGCCAACTGGTCATGAACCGGAGGCGGAGACCCACGGCTGAGTGTTGCTCGAAGAGAGAGGGCTGCTTACATGAGAGTAGCACTTTCCACTCTCTTACTCAATTATGTGGCATTTGAAAAAAGCTACTTGAGCACCCCCGAGAGGGAAGAGCGAAAAAAGCGTTTCGGAAATTCGCACTGCATTTACAAAATTTGAATTTCAATCAGCTTCAATTTCTGCCACTTGGCGACCATTAACAAAGTTTCAATGGCTTAATTTTGATTGATTGATACAAAAAAATCTATCAATAAGTCTGAATCACTTTTTGCTGTTGAGGATATCATGCAGGATAGTTCCCTTTTGTCGATGATTTTTTTACTTAATTTTCATTTCATTCAAGACGCAAGGAACCTTACTTCTTAATTTCGGATCTTGTCTTCTTTGCTAACAAATTTTGAAATTAACTTTGCAACTTAATTAAAAAGTGCTCCAGTTTCTGAAGCTTTATTATTTCTTTATTGTTCTGATAAAAAACTGCAATAAATTACTGATTTTACTTTGTTATTTTAATGTTTTGGATGTTTGTTATCCTTTCTATTAGCAGCAAGAGGTTTCAGGGTTGAAGGGGTTTCATCCACATCCCAATCCGCATCCACAACCTCACATTCCACATGAATTGGTGCGCCATCGTCAGTGGCCTGTGGACCCTCGGGATATGCCAAATCCTCATCCGCAGGAGGGAGCGTCCGACGGATTGGCTTCAAGTAAAAATGAATGAATATAAATTAAAATGGAAATTTAACAGGATCACGAAGAACACTTACGTGTCCACGGCGCTGCTGCGTGCTTCGTGCCTGGTTTGGCCGTTGCTGCCTACGGTCGGCACTGGCCATTCCCAGGACAACGCAGGAGCAGATCAGAAGGATAAGAGCGATTTTCGGTGACATCTTTAGTTTGACAACAGAGACTGAAAGACACTATGCTGAAACTGAGATTTCGATCCTATTTATACCAGTCAGTAAGCGTTATCAGTGCTTAATATTTATATCTGTTCTTTCTTTTTTAAAAATGGTAATATTTCGTTTCTTAGAATACTTTTTACGACGGGGTCAGGCGGAGCAGTTCCCAATATTTTCAATACTCAGAATTAAGTGTCAGCGAAAGGTCAATGATCACATACCAACAAACTTACATATTTGGGGTTTTAGAAATTAGTTCATAAAACATAGAAAATATAAATGTACTTATTAGCCTAATTAAAATACAATATATAACATACCATTTGTAGTCCTCGTGCTTGTAACATTGAACTAAAAGTCATCGGGAAATGACCAAAAATTAACAACTTATGCCGTGTCAGGAGTCATTTCCGACCCTATAAATCATTTACATACATATATTCTTGAACATCACAACAGCCGAATCGTTTTAGCCATGTCCGAAAGGAACATTTTTTAGGCATTGTTTTAAAATTATATAAGGGGTTATAAAAACTAACACAGCAAAGCTTTCCGAATTGATATCCATGCATTTTTGGTTTAGTTATGAACAATTTCAAGTATCCAATTGCAACCTGCCAGGATATCCAAATTTGTATAAAGAACAAGATAAAATTAATTAATCATGAAGTTAACGCCCTTTTTACAGTTGTAATTTTTGGTAATTAAATCTTAATATTTGAGATACGAAAACTACAAAAAAGTGGTTTTATCTTGTATTAAAGATAAACTAACAAATAAATATGAATTTCTATTTTCTATGTTTTAAGATCTGATGTCTAAAACCCGAAATATGTAAGTAATGGCATGTGAACATTGACCCTTCACTGACTCTTAGTTCTGAGTATTGAAAATAATGGGAACTGCTCCGCCTGACCCCGTCGTAAAAAGTATTCTAAGAAAGAATCGATTACCATTTCTAAGAATGATATAAAAATCGGGCACTGATAACGCTTACTGACTGGTATAAATAGGATCGAAATCTCAGTTTCAGCATAGTGTCTTTCAGTCTCTGTTGTCAAACTAAAGATGTCACCGAAAATCGCTCTTATCCTACTGATCTGCTCCTGCGTTGTCCTGGGACTGGCCAGTGCCGACCGTAGGCAGCACCGACGCCGGGGACACGTAA